AATGCAAGTGACACCCAAAGGTTTCCTCCACTGGCACTCAAAAAGAGTACAAAGGGTCACAAGAATACGGAGACCACAAAAGGTGTGAAAATTAACCCAGTGTATGTCGAGAAATCAATTCCACCTATCAATTCAATTGGTTATTTGAGTAAGGGGCAGCCAGAGTAGGACAACAAGCACGTACCTTCATATTTTTCCACCAGTATTTGTTCTTTAACTTCCCGGCGCTTGCCTCGAACTGTGAAGCCCCAGCTTGGAGGGCATCTGAAAGGAGTAAAAGGTTGGTAATAATGAAAGGTCGCAACAGACGGTGGTAATGCATCCTGTACTTTATAAGATGATAGAGTGCAGGCGTAGCGTGGTTCGTTATTTCATCCGACTGTACTGACGAGTCTTTATAGACTCGAGGGTTAAATATAACCGACGGATAATAAAAGGAATCTTCTCATATGAACTAGTGTGGATTCTTCGGACTACCTATGGGATGCAAGCACGTATACAGACGCGAGCCTAAGCTTAGGAGCCGCAAAGTGAATATTTAGATCTGCACATCAGCAAGCGTCATTGTTTAGAAGCGTTAGCATATATACCAGTAATACTAAAAAAAACTTGTTTATATAAGGTCGAGAGGTACATCGTTTTCATTTTAAAAATTCACTATTAAATCCGGAAACCTAGTAGAATGCCGAAATCGTGGAAAAGTACAAACAATCTACCGCGAAAAAAGTTTTAAAGCAGGTAGTGTGAAAAGCCTACTCACCAGCACGATCGTCCAGCTTGCCCAGGGCAGCGTCCCTTTCAAGCACCTTCTCCATATTGACGCGCATAATATCGACAACCTCGTTCACTTGAGCTTGCGTCTGCTGGAAACGCTTATTTGTGGCTTGAGTAGGAGCCGGTCTACCGTCGGCAGGAGGAGCCATAGCATTTTCAGGAGGATTCCTGTGTAGCAACATGACAGTACGAGAGATATTTAAAAAATATTGCACAAAACGCACAAAAGGCTGTAAATATGCTGCCTATACTTATATCCTGCGGCCGAAACTGACCTGAAGCGACCTCAAAAATAGAAAATCGATAAAACAGCGGATTTTCATTTCTTGGATGATGAAGTGGCAACCACCGGGTCCCAAAA